TCCCTGATGGATTAAAGTACCCTGGTCCTGCTCCTACATTTAAGAACATAAGAACATAAGAGACGCCAATGTTGGATCAGGCCAAAGGCCCATCCAGTCCAACACTCTGTGTCACACAGTGGCCAGAAATACCAGTGCCATCAGGAGGTCCAGCAGTGGGGCCAGGACATTAGAAGCCCTCCCACTGTTGACCCCCCCCCCAAGCACCAAGAAGACAGAGCATCACTTGCCCCAGAGCCCCTAGCTATACCTTGTGGCTAATAGCCACTGATGGACCTCTGCTCCATATGCTTATCTAATTCCCTTTTGAAGCCGTCCATGCTTGTAGCACCCACCACTTCCTGTGGCAGTGAATTCCATGTGTTAATCACTCTTTGGGTGAAGAAGTACTTCCTTTTATCCGTTCTAACCCGACCGCTCTGCAGTTTCATGGAGTGCCCACGAGTTCTTGTATTGTGAGAAAGGGAGAAAAGTACCTCTTTCTTTACCTGCTCTTTCCCATGCATAATCTTATAAACCTCGATCATGTCACCCCTCAGTCGTCTTTTCTCCAAGCTAAAGAGCCCTAAGCGCTTTAACCTTTCCTCATAGGGAAAGTGTTCCAACCCTTTTATCATTCGAGTTGCCCTTTTCTGCACTTTTTCCAAAGCTATAATATCCTTTTTAAGGTGTGGTGCCCAGAACTGCACACAGTATTCCAAATGAGGTCTCACCATTGATTTATATAGGGGCATTATTATATTGGCTGATCTGTTTTCAATACCCTTCCTAATAATCCCCAGCATAGCATTGGCCTTCTTTATTGCAGTCACACACTGTCTCGACATTTTCAGTGAGTTATCCACTACAACTCCAAGATCTCTCTCTTGCTCAGTCTCTGCCAGTTCAGACCCCATCAATGTGTATTTATATTTAGGATTTTTGGCTCCAATGTGCATCACCTTGCACTTGGCCACATTGAACCCCATTTGCCATGTTGACGCCCACTCGCCCATCCTTGACAGATCCCCTTGGAGTGCCTCACAATCCTCACTGGTTTTCACCACCCTGAACAACTTTGTATCATCCGCAAATTTAGCCACTTCACTGCTTACTCCCATCTCCAAATCATTAATGAACAAGTTAAAAAGCAGTGGACCAAGTACTGATCCCTGCGGTACCCCACTGCTTACCACCCTCCACTGAGAAAATTGCCCACCTACACTCACTCTCTGTTTTCTATGAACTAGCCAGTTTTTGATCCATAAAAGGACTTGTCCTTCTATCCCATGATTTTTGAGCTTACTTAGGAGCCTTTGATGAGGAACTTTATCAAAAGCTTTCTGGAAGTCAAGGTAAATAATATCTATTGGATCCCCCTTGTCCACATGTTTGTTCACCCCCTCAAAGAACACTAACAGGTTAGTGAGACAAGATCTTCCCTTACAGAAACCGTGCTGAGTCTGCCTCAATAGGTTTTGTTCATCTATGTGCCTACTAATTCTTTCCTTAATAATGGTTTCCACCAATTTACCCGGTATCGACGTCAGACTGACTGGCCTGTAATTTCCCGGATCTCCTCTGGAACCCTTTTTAAAGATGGGAGTGACATTTGCTACCTTCCAATCCTCAGGAATGGAGGCAGATTTTAAGGAAAGATTACATATCTTTGTCAGGAGATCTACAAGTTCACATTTGAGTTCTTTCAGAACTCTCGGATGTATGCCATCTGGGCCTGGTGATTTTTCAGTTTTTAAGTTGTCTATCAGTTTTAGGACCTCCTCTCTCGTCACCTCAATCTGACTCAGGTCTTTCAACACCCCTCCTGAAATCAGTGGTTCTGGAGTGGGCAAGCACTTCTCATCTTCCACAGTGAAGACGGAGGCAAAAAATGCGTTTAGCTTCTCAGCCATTTCCCTATCATCCTTCAATACTCCTTTTACCCCTTGGTCGTCCAAGGGCCCCACTGCCTCCCTGGCTGGTTTCCTGTTTCTAATGTATTTGAAGAAAGTTTTATTGTTGGTTTTTACGTTTTTTGCTATATGCTCCTCATATTCCCTTTTTGCCTGCCTGACCACAGACTTGCATTTTATTTGCCATAGCCTGTGTTCCGTTTTATCAGCCTCACTGTGACTAGCTTTCCACTGCTTAAAGGAATCCTTTTTACCTTTTACAGCTTTCATTACTTTGTTTGTTAACCATGTAGGCTTTTTCCTATACCTGTTTGTGCCTTTCCTAACCTGCGGAATATATTTTTTTGAGCATCTAGAATCATAGTTTTAAATAGTTTCTAAACTTCCCCAATGGTTTTGACCCTTTCTACTTTTCCTGTCGGTTTCCTCCCACATGTCCCCTCATATCAGAAAAATCACCCCTTTTAAAGTTAAAAGTGGTTGTGTGAGTCTTTTTGGCCAATTCCCTATTTGTACAAATGTTGAACTCAACAACATTATGATCACTGTTCCCAAGCGGTGCAATCACTTTTACATCTCTCACCAGATCTTGTGCTCAGAGTTCTGAGTCTCGGACCCAGGTTAA